GCTTGTGCCAGTTCGTGTGCAACAAAAGGTCTTTTATAGATTGTAAAAGTTATATAACATTCAATAATTAATTTTTAAGATAAAAAAAAGAAGAAGAAAAAGATAATTTTTAATTATATCAAAATGAATACACCATGTTCATAAAAGATTTTTTTACAAAACTATTCTTCTTAAACAATATTGCTAATGCAACCACAATTTTTGCTACTACTACCACAACTCTCCATCTACTACATGCCATATTTGTTCAACATCTTTCAAACTAGTTAAATTTTCTTTGCTCAATATCTTTCAAACCATTTGATTGAACAAATGTCTTAATTGGAATATAGAATAATTTAAATAATATTTCAAATTGGTGGCAGAATGAAGTGATAGTAGCAAAATTGTGGTAGCACTAAAAATATCCATTCTTAAACCGTAAAAAATCATATGTATATACATATATGCACATACACATTCATTCTCATACAAGACTCATTTTAGCAATAAAGATACAGGGTAATTTAAATTTTATGACTAAAGTGTTAAAGAATAAATATATTATTTATTTCCATGTAAATAAATTTATAAAAGAGACAAAATTATTATTATTTTTTAAACAAACAATACAAAAAAATGGTTTTTTTATTTTTATATTATAAATTTAGTGATATTATTTTAAGAAGTATTTATTTATTTCTATTATTAAAATATATATAATTTAAAATATTAATTTAATAAAATTTCCATTCTATAGAATATAAAATATTAATTCTATCACATTTTTCATCCAATTTGTGGAGTTAAAATTTAAATTAATTATTAAAAATATTTTTAATAACTAATGTGGTTTATTTTTTCTATTAAAGAATTTAATATAGAAGTAACAAAATAATAAACACAAGATAATCTTACTACTTTTCAAATATTTTGACTTTTTCATATGTGTTCTAAACCAAAATATATATATTTTTTAATCTTCAACTATTGGAACTTAATTTTAAACCATTATTAAAGTCATTTAAAATAGAAAAAATATTTTAATTAAAATTATATTTAATTTTAATTTTTAATAAGAAATTTCTATATTACTTGCAAAAATAGAAGGAATTAAAAAGCAAATGGAAGTACATTGTACATGTTAGATAGATAATATTTTTCCTGTAAAACTTTAAGAAAGCTGTTTACATACAAATTAGATTATTTGATCCTTATAGATATGTCACATGATTATTGATATTTTTTATAGCTTTTTATTTTTATTTTTAGAAGACTTCTTTGAAAACAACTTACATCTTGATGCTTGGGCCACAAGTCTTATGATCTTTAAGAAACTTCCATAAGGCCTTCTAGAGAGCTAATATATATATATATATATATATATATATAGAGAGAGAGAGAGATATATATATATATATATAAGAATGAAACCATTTTTAATCTTATTTTCATTTTTTTTACATTCTAATCTTGATTCAAGTTTATTTAGTTATTTTTTGTTTGAGAATAGTCATTTAATTTTTTACCTATCTTATATATATTTTATTTATTCATTATTTTTCTTTCTTCTTATGTGGAGATATATAAAGATAATAACTTACAAATTTTTGTTTGAAGTTATGTTCTTAATATCTACATTCTTTGGATGTAAATAATTATTAAGATTTTTATTATTTAAAATATTATATATCATATAAATCTAAAGCTTCTATACCTAGACTATTTAAATAACCAAATAAAATTCTTAAATTTTAACATAAATTTTAAATATTAAAAAATATTTTTTTAAAATTATATAAATTTATAATGCATGCCTTTTTTATAAATAAAATATTATCTTCATTAATCCAATTTAAATCATTTAAGAAAGTATATTTTTAAAATTTTAAAATTATTAATTTTAATTTTTATATATAATTTTATCTTAAAAATTAAATTTAATAATTATATATATAAATTATTATATATAATTATATAATCCTATTTTTATGTCTATACCCATATATAATCTTATATAGTTGGTAAGAATAATATTTTTATTAAAATAAAATAAATTGAAAATTATTACAAATAATTTATAAAAAATATAAATTAAAAAATTAAAAAAAACTAAATCAATCATGATCTTATATTTTAAAAAAGTAATATAAACTCTGTTCTTAATAATTATATATAAAAATAGGATTATATAATTATATTATTATTAATTTTAATTTTTATATATAATTATATATCAGTAAATATTAATTAATAGTAATTTTATATTAAAATTATATATATATATATTTGAAATAAATAAATGAATGCAAAAATACAATTATATATTCTAAAATTATTTTTAAGTATTAATATTTAATTAGAAATACATAAGTAAATTATTATTAATATATTTTTTTAATATATATTCTTCTTCGTTTTTCTTTTCAAGTGTCATTACAGTAACCATTAAAAATCATGCTTCAATATTTACAGTAAGAGTTGCATAAACTCTATTACTTATTATTGCATTGTTAATGTAAGAAAATAAATAAAAATAAACTCAATATATGTAAGTTCTTTCTAGGTATACACATATCAAATGGAGGTTTAATCACATGGAAGAATTGATCTTCTTGATTCCACTCCTTTGACGTGATTGAGATAGAAACAAAATATATTTGTATTTAGAAGATGGTGGTTAAGTAGATTAGATCTTAACTTCTAAAATTTAACTAAATTCTTAATACTTAGATTTAAAAGCTAAACACTGAAGAGATTACACATTATTATTTATTAGAAGTTAGTCAAGTTAGGATTCAAAATTTCATAAGAGAGTGAAGATTATTGCTGTAGATTATAGTTTTTTGCCTTTTAGGAATAGAAATAAACTTGATTACAACTTCAAAATCTTAAACAAGGCTAAAAATTTAATTTCAGTATGTTGTGGTAAAACTAATAGTAAATAAAATCTCATGTGATTTAGACATACAATTAAAAACATATATTCATAAAAAACCAAAAAATTAAAAATCAAAATTACATGAACATCATAATGTATTTGTTAAAGACATGTAAATAATTAAAGTCAAATATTGGGAGCAAAGAACTTTTCTTGTATATTTGTTTTCTATGTATATATGAGTTGTATTTAAATAATGTTATACATTTAATAAATTTTAGTTTATTAAAGGTTAATATCCAAGGAAAAGAAGTTTGATAAGCTTGACTTCTTTTTAAGTAATTAGTAGTACAAAAAAGAATAAACAATAAATTTGATTTAATTTTAGTCTATCTATTTTTATTTTTTTATAAATTTATTGTTTTTTTAATTTGATTTTGGTGCTAGAACTTAAAGTCTACAAAGTCAATATAAATTTTTATTATTCTAAATTTAATAAAAAAAATAATTTAAGAAATTATTATATATATATATATATATATATATATATATATATCTTGTTATTAATTAACATGTTTAAAAATTAGACTAAATAGTATTTGTTTGTGTGTGTATATACATGTCATTCTATAACACAATCATTTAATTGTTGATAGCATACAATAACAACATATTATAAAAATCTATACATTTTTTTGGAGTTTAATAATATTTGTGCAAAATATTGTTTTTTTCCCATACATATGTTGATTGAGAACTAATCTCAATGTCTTAGATCTGACAAGAATATAGAATCAAGTGCTTAGATTTTTTTATTGAATTAAAGTATAATTTTGCTCTTTAAAGTGGTATCACAATAATCAAAGTAAAATGAAAGAAATGTCATGTATCTCTTGCAAAATAGAGAACATACATTATAATTAAAGGCCATGGATTGTGGCTCTTGGTATCAAGCTAAGATAGTGAACCTCTTTCTAGATATCTCATTGATTGAGACACTTAAATGAAGCACAAATCAACTATCAAATTTGGATAATTTTATATGTAGATAAAGACATGAAGAGATATATTATCCTTTGAATTGATACACATAGATGAAGATTATTTTCTTTAATATATGAGACACAATACATACATACATACATACATACATACATATTACTAATGCCATCATAGGTTTTACTATTGCCATTACAATATATTATCTACTCAACATATTTCTTTTTTTTATTCTGATAAATAATTATATTCAATCAAATGTTTTGAAATGTATTAAGCAAAGGTGGTATGTAGTAGATAGGTGGTTGTAGTGACACCAACAAAAATTGAGATGGGGTTAATAATACCATATATACATTTCTATAAACTCACATAAAATAGATTGATACAATAGTTTGGTCTATTGTATTTTTTAAAAAAATGCTCAACTTTTCTATTGATGCATAAAGTTTTTTTAAAAATAAAAAATAAGAAATAAATGATTATAATATGAAATAAAATATATATAATTTTATAAAATAAATATACCAATTTTGGAACTTATGCTTGATTATCAACTATGCTTACAAAAGTGGTTAATATTGTCAAAAGACAATTATAACTTGATTTTAAAGATTTTAAATAAATACAATACAATAAAAATGATAAAATTTATTGCTATCACTCATATAAATTGAGGCAAAAGAAGCTTATTTTAAAATAAAAAACATTATTATTCATTATCTTATTTTATGATACTATAGACCAAGTTTGTCATTCTTAATTGAATTGTTAAAACCGTTGATTAAAAATACATTAATGCCTAAAATAATAATACAACATATTATTATAAGAAATTGTTGTAACATCAACATATTTAATGTATTTTTTTAAAATTTAATAAAATACATTATAAATATATATATACATATATTGAATGTCATTGATAAATAACACAATTTTAAAATAATTGTGTACATTTGTTTCTATTGACAATAAACTTGTATTGTATTCATGCTTATTTAATAGTCTTCATGTGTTTTAACATACTCAATTTATTTTTTGTAAGTAATCAACCATATATATATAAACACAACCAAAAAAATTATTACAATTTCAAAGGTTAAATTTTATGGTTTTAATTCATATATATGAAAGAAGTGAATGAATGAAAAAAACAAAACAAAACAAAAAAAAAAAAACAAAAAAAAAACAACCTACATTCAGAATTTTGCATAACCAGTGACCAAAACAAGAGAGAAAGAGAAGATACACAAAATAAAAACATGCATATATAAGCATATACTCATACAAAAGCTTATTCACAAACATTGAACCAACTCATTTGATTCTCACCAAAACTGTTGCCATCTAGTCATTCAACAAACAAACAAACAAACATTCAAAAATACCTATTTTCCAAAACAACAACTCCAAGTTTGCATTCACAACCACCAAACTCCAAAAGAAGTCACACAAATTGTTTAAATTTGTGGGTGTGTGAGAGTGGACAGGCCTTCATTCGTTAGGGTTTACCACCTCAATTGCTGTTCCTTCCGTTGTTTGCTTCTTCTTCTGTAGCTGCGTCTCCAACGCCATTTATTCTATAGAGGAAGCCCCTCTCTCCCACGGTTTCATTCCATTCCTGCTACTCTGCGTTGCTTCGTCCGCTTCACCCCTTTTGTGGTCGTGGGTTTTGTTAGTTTCTTCTGTTGTATTTCGACCTTTCACGGCCGATTTGTTTTGACAGCGCGCGCGGAAGTGGCTCATGATTTGTGGAGCTTTCCTCGTTGAGGGCCTTTCTCTCGTTCTGTCGCGTTTTCGAGCCTATGTTGCTTTTGTGATGTCATTGGGTTACCAAGTTAGAATTCTTCCATACTACTGACATTTTCTAGGGTTAGGGTTTCGGCAGTTTTGTACCCACTGTTCGACTTAAGTTTCCGACTAGATTTGGGGTGTGTCAGGGGTGGGGTGGGGGGTCGAGAGTCTTGCTCTGTTGTGGGCACTAGTCGTAGCGGTCGCGGCTGGACCATGTTGCTGGGTAGCTTTGCCGCTCCTGGAGGAGTGCCAGCGGATTTTGAATACTGATACGACAGATTTTGTATAGTCTGCCTTTTCATTTGTTCTGTAGCTGAAGTGCCATTGCGCAGTGAAGGGCTTTGAATTTGCTACACTCGTCTTTGTTTTGATGTTTACACTCCCGATGATTACAACACCATGCTAATCATGAAATACATGATTACAAAATAGATATCCGTTAAATGAGGGAATTTTGCTCGCTTGTACACAATACGGTAGTCTTCATGATCATGTACCATTGTCCGGAAGATACGCCCCTGTGGCTGGAATTCTCTTACTACCGTTGAGGATATCTTGAGCCGTCCTTTTCTGATTACACGACTATTTCATACCAGGCGGCGATTGTCACATTTTGGGTCTATCTTTGGATATAATGATCGCAATTGGTCCGTGTTTCTGAATAGCCTTCGAGCTACTGGAGAAATACCAGCGATTTTTCCTACTGATCCATTGCTTTGCAATTACCCTAGAGTTTGTCCTCTCGGCTTATTCAGTGGTGTTGCTTAGCGTGCTGCACTATGTAGGTTTCCCTTTTCGCCCTTTCGTCTCGTTCTGCTTTTGGTCTATCTCTAGTGCGCCAAGTCTCAGAGTTGGGCACTGGATTGGACTTCAGCAGTTGAATGATGAAAGTCATTGTATGGAATGTTACTGACAATCGTCTTGGTCCTGTCATACATATTATTTGATGTTCCGGTTGCCCTGGTGACCACTGGAGACTTTTATGGATATTATGGGTGGAAAAGTGTACTTTTAGGCGTGGAAGGATACGTGGTCCGGATAGATCATCTTGTTAATTGTTATTTGATAGCGTACATGTTATTTGTCACAGTCTTGTACTTGTTCACTTGCGTTTTTTCTGTTAACTCTACGTCTGGATATTACGATCCATGTCCTGTCTATGCGTCGTGTATGATGCGCATCGGGTTAATTAAAGACATGTTTGGGACGTGTCTCCATGGGCGTCACCGATTTGGTTCATTCAGTGTATGCTCTGGCTTGGGTTGGACCTAGAGCGCTGTTTTATCCCCTCGAATGATTTTAAAAGTAGGTATTCCCAGTTGTGAATTTTGAACAGAAGCTTGAATTGACTGCTGCAACACATTTTCAGTCGTGTGCCAATGACGCATATTAAAGTTGCACGCTTAGTCGATAGGGAATAGATTTACACATGTTTGAAGAGGCCATTGATCTGTCTGTAGACTCATCAACTAAATGACGGAGCACAAACATTCTGACACGAATATGATTGACTAGTTGTAACCGGGTGTATTTGAGTCTGGAAGTAGTTGCTTCTTGACCTGCTTTAAACCATGAAGGTGGACTAGTTGTAGCAAAGACTGCGAGTATATAACATCAAAATAGTACCATATCTTGACGTGCATGAACGAATTCTGGCGACCAGCATGTTCCTAGTAACATATTTTAACAACCGAATTGAACTTTCATTTCATTTCATTTCATTTCACACCTACATCATCAATAGTCGCCACACCACATCTCTTAAATAATTTTATCGCGCGTACGGCTGGATAATTGATGTCCACCATGATAACAAATCCTCTTCACATCCAACTTTAATCCCTAACCTCTCTTACAAAACTAATTACTGCACCGGTCCCGCTCCACGGGAAGAAGATGAAATGAGACCTTCCCAAGATTTCTTCTTCAACAAATTCTATCAAAAATGCTGACACTTCACAATCGTAGAACAATTTCCTTGTCGACAACTTCGACGTGAACCCATTGAGACGAAGGTGCACACTTCCTCCTCAACAGCACTGTAAAATGTGATGAAGACGAGAAGGATATTCTTGAAACTACGTCCGTTCGCTCTTTCGAGAACACCCACTCTCTTGAACATGTAGTGACACAAACAATCTGAGCTCAATGTGATAATCCCAATGCCTAGTGGCCTACAACGCTGCAGCCCCCACACGGCCTGAAAATAATATATTTAGGGATCGAAGCTCCAGGCTGACTGCCACGGTGACTCCACAATGCAATTAAACCACACATTTGAACTTCTACGCTGAGACGATGATTGGATCTTTATCTACTGATCGTTGCAGCCTGCAACTCCCACCGGTCCACTCAGTTCGACCCCCACCCATGAGTGAAGTTGCTCATCTGGCCTGGCTAGCCTTTAATATCCCATACTGACCCACATGCAGTTTGTTACGAGAATGCAACTTCTGTTTGGGATGCGCACAATCATAGGAGTAGAAATAATGCAAAGAGGAGAATTCACAACGGGCAAAATTCTGGCCGCAAACACGGTGTCTGTGGTTTCATCTGTGCATGTTTACGACCTTCGCAATACAGACAGCATCCATGTTCATACCCATATCCATCGTAGAGTTTCATAAACGCGGAGAACAGCGTGGAACACATAAAAAAACATGTGAAGACGAGTGAGCAGTGATATACCCAATCGTCTTCGCATGTGCTTCATTACTGCACAGTCTGTGCTGCGACCAGTGGAATGAAGAATTAAGAAATATATATATATATATATATACACACACACATAAATAAATTGTACTTGCAACAGCGTGCGAAGAATTGGAAGAAAAAGTGGGGAAATAATTGTACTAGGATGTCAACAAAGAGAAAAACTTAAAACATTAAAAAAGAAAAAGAATGTTAGGTATAATTCCCACTTACAATGGGATTGTGTGTTAGTATCTTGGAACGTTGAAAATCCACTAGACATGTACTATAAACATTGATCAATCTAGCTCAAATATTTTTGTAGCTAGAATTTGAATTGCCAACTTATATATACAGATATTTATATAGGATTTTTGAGTGATTCGAGGTCACTGTATATCAATTTAATTTATTTTTATTGGTTGTAAAATAACTACATGCACAATAACATATGATACTTCACTTCTTCCATGCTATATATTGTTAGTTTATATTAAATTATCATAAATAAAATAATAATAATTTAAGATAAAAAAAATTTTGCAATTTTTTTGCAATGGGTATTTTTATATTGCAGGAGATTGTCTTGTTAAGAATCAACTTAATTGATTCTATCGTATATTTTCCAACCACTAGCTTCCATGATTAAATAGCATATTCCACCACACAAGACATTAACAATTTAACATTTTAATACTTTATTAGTCTACATACCATCAATGTAATAGGTTCCTTGATAATAGTTTTTTCTACAATTGCTTGAATGAAACACTCAAAAGAAACGAGAACTGAACTTTTATGTATATAGGGAAAGACGAATGCCAAAAGTCCACAGTTCTTAAGAACCACTGTGTAGCAAAGGATTTTTGTAGAATTAGATTATTTTTATTTTTAAAATGCAAGAAATAAATAAACTTAATAAACTTAATGCAATAAATAAATAAATAAATAATCTTATTTTTCAACCTAAATTTTTTACTTCTGAAAAGAAAGTTTAAAATTTCGAAAATAAGTGTACTACTCATTTACAATGGATTTTTACAAAATTGTCTTCTGTAACAATATCATTATTGGTGTGGTCAATTTATTGGTGTTAATGGTGCTAATTATTCTTAATGTATGTTTTGTTTCTAATTTGAAATTTAAAAAGTTTCGATCAAACTTCTTGTTTAAACTTTGAGTTCTTTTATAGACCAATGGCCTTATCAATCTATAAAATTGAAATATGTGAAAAATTGATTGAAATTAATGAAATTAAACGACTAAAAATTAATGAAATTAATTGACATCTATTTTTATTTTTATTCAGCGGAAATTGAAACATAACTGTGTTAATAAATTATAATAACATCATTTTTTAAAATGAATATATTTATTTTAACTGATATTTTATAAATTTTATATATCTATAAATTTAAATATATATGTAATATGTGTGTATATATATATATATAATTCTTATACTATATGGTGTAAATAATGTATTTTATAAAATTCACTATAAAATTATCTTAAAAGCAGATTGGAATTATGAGTCTCTTTAGATAATTTATGTGATTATGCAAGATTTATCAAAAACGCTTTAAAATAATAAAAAAATTGTTATAAAAATGTTTTACGACTTGGATACTAATTGCATTAGCCTTCTTATCCATAACAAAGTTTTATATGATCTTCTTGTTAGCTTACTTGTACAAAGCTTAAGTTGGGATCAACCTCACTTTTATCCGTTTTTAAAATTATATATATATATATATATATATGTATTTTGTGAGAATTTTATATTTTTTCATTAATAATAAATAACTTTAAGTTATTTTTAAAAAATAAATACTAAAAAAATATACCAGAATTTATTTTTATTCATAATGGTTTTCACTTTACTTTATTTTATTTTATTTTTGAAGTGCTTTGGATGTATGTTTCAAACAATATGTCCAGGCCTTTCTAACGAAGCACAGTTTTTACAATGTTGGACATTTGTTATGATATAATCAAAAACTATATCTTTTATTAAGAGAATGAGAGATTTTTTTTCAAATTCATAGTTGTAAGATAATATTTTCAAGACAACTAATAGTAGTTATTGAACTTTAAATGCAAAGTAGCTGCTTTTTATGTAGCTCTATTCACATTCATTGGTATCCTGTATTAAGTTTAATTTAAAGCAAGTAGGATATTTTACGTTATATAGTAAATTTTGGAGGACCAAATTCCCAATGTCATACATTAGAAGGGCTTAATTATGTCTCTTATATAAAGAGTCTTTATATCAACAACACATGCATGTGATGTTTGTACATGCATTTTTCTATATTTCTAGAAGTAGGTATGTAACATAAAATACCAATTTTAATTTTATATTCTTAAAATGGTCATATGCCAACATTTTTGTAATACAACTTAAATATGGATGTTTCACATTTTCGTCAAGAGTGGCATTAAAATAACTGAAGTTTTAGATAAAGAATTCATTTAAATGTCTGCGTTTAATTATAATTCCAAAGAAGATATTTACAATTTGATTACATTGATTTGACAAAACAGAAGTAGATTAAAATAATGTTAGTGGATAGGTTTGATGTGAATAAATCAAACTACGTCAGAACTCGGATTTATGGCAACAATAAATCTTTTATATATAAATCTAATGTAAAAATAAGTTAAATCATTTAAATTAGAACTGGTATCAAAACAGGAAAGAAATATATATATATATATATATATATATGTGTGTGTGTGTGTGTGTGTATACATACATATCCTGCCATTAAGATCAAACAATATTCAAAGGTTGGAATCCTATTATTAAGGAATTGATTATATGGTTATTTTATTATTACCAATAATGCTCTTGGGTATGATTTTAAATTGTGTTAAATTAATTAGGTTTTTATTGTCTAACCCACATATAAATCTGGGATCTCATGCTGGTGAAAAAGTCCATACAGACTGGATCAATAAATAAAAATCTCTCACTGTTAAGTATCTAGAGCTCCAGTAAGCATGAAACCTGAGAA